GAGCGGTAGTTCATGAGCCAGAAAAGGCTGCTGGCATTTAATATTAAATGGGTCTTCTTTGCTTCTATATGCTTTCTCCAGGTAAGCCTTTTGTCTAAGTGTATGCCGAGATAGGTGACTTCGTCTGCTTGTGGAACCGGCTTGTTGTTTAGCACCAGTGGTAGGCATTTCGGCAAGGTTAGTGTAAATGTAATGTGCTTACACTTTTGCTCGTTGACTTTGATACGCCAGTCTGCGAGCCATTTTTCTACAGCTACCAGGTGTTCTTTTAAATGAGCTTTTGCTGTTTTTGGGCATTTCGAGCGGCTGATAATGGCAGTGTAGTCAGCGAAGGTTGAGATGAGGGTCTGGCGGCTTGTTGGAATGTCTGCCGTGTAAAGGATGTACAAGATTGGTCCAAGCACACTTCCTTGGGGTACTCCAGCTTCTATGTTACGGATGGTTGAAGTAAAGGTTTTACGTCTCACGGTGAAAGCTCTGTTTCTGAGGTATGACTCAAGCAACTTGTGGGTGTATTCCGGTAGGAGGGTTTTAATTTTGTATACCAGACCGTCGATCCAGACGCGATCAAATACTTGTGTTACGTCCAGAAATAAGGTACTGCAATATTGCTTGTGTTCAAAAGCCGTGCGAATTTCAGATGTTAAGTGGTTTACCTGTTCGATAGTTCCATGCTTTTTCCTAAATCCGAATTTGTGCAGAGGGATCGTTCTGTTGTTTTGAAGATGTATTACGCTTTTTTTGGGTCTATGTGTTCTTTAATGGCCTTAAGTATTGTGCTGGTTTCAAGGGTAACTGGGGAGGACGGCGACGCTGGCGATACACTCGGTAGAGTGAATTGGTTGGATGGCGGGTGAGACTTGAAGACGTTTTCCAAGTGATGGGCAAAGGTGTTAGCTCTTTCTTCGTCACTGTGCGCCCAGGCACCTGTTTGTGATAGAATTGGCCAATCGGGATCTATTGGTGGTTGCATGTTTGGGTGAGCTCTTCATAGTGGGAATTTATTACCCGTTAGGGATAGTTTCGCAATGTAGGCCCGTTGGGCCTGGTTCTTTTCGGTAGAGAGAGCCTCCGACAATTTTCGAGATGCTTCATTCTTTTCTTAGTAGCTGGGGAACGATGAGTCTGCGGCTGTTCAGATAGACAGAGGAGAACTGGCGAATGGTCCGATGTAAGCTCTTCTAAGGTTTTTACGTTTATCAGCCTGTGCGAAACTCTTCCAATAACAGCGAAATCGATAATGTCATGTTGTTTATTTGGATCTGTGGGCCAGTATGTAGGCCTAGCTGATGAGACAAAGCCAAGCTTATTACCAGAAGTGATGATAGCGTAGTATAATTGGCGGCCTTTGGGGTTGATAAGACGAGATCCCCAGTGGGGATGCTTTGCGTTATAATCACCGGCAGCTATAAAGCAGCGTCCTAGTGAGTTGTAGAAATTCATAAACTCATTTTCTGCAATACTGAAGCGTGGGGGGCAATATATGGCGGATAGGTGGGGCGCCAATTAGGTTTATACGTAGGGATGTGGCCTGCAGGTAGTTAGTAGCGAATGTATCCAAGGGATGATGTTTTATGCGTTTTTTATGAGTATACCGGTACCTCCGGTATACCAAAGAATTATCAATAACTAAAAAGACCCAATGCTAAATTTAAATTATATTGTTTTCTAATTTTTTTTGGTTAGTGGCAGACACGTGGCTATGTAGTTAAGAATATCCGTTAAAGGTTCTTTCCGGCAAACAAGATTTTAGATTTTTTACTGTTGGTCAACAAGCCCAGCTTGCATTACGGTACCTAGATCGACGGAAAAAAATGCCAGAAAAATGCAGAGCTTTGCACGAGCAGTTGAAATTCAAGAATTTATCTTATATTCTCAAGTACCTTGGCAAGATGAGATCTTAGAGCTGACAATCATATTACGTCGATCCAAGTACTACACTACAGTTACTATACACTATAGTTTTTTAGGAAATAAAAGCTCAACTGAACGGACGAACCTCGCATAATCTTATTAAATTTATTTTGTATACCGAAAAGCAGCATAAAAAAAATATATTCCCATACAGAATTTAACTTAAATGAACTATCTGAGACGTAAATGGCAGGCTACTCATATTTTGTAAATATTTCCCTATTAAGTTTAACATGGTCCTCGGGGATGCCTAACTCGTTGGTGGCTTTTGGTCTCGATTAAAGCGCCTTACAAGAGGCTATGTAAAGGGTACTCCCAAAACAGATTTTTTTCGTTTTTGAGCTCCTTTATATTTTGTTGCCTATGCTCGTTCGTTCGCTAGGATTTCCTCTTCGAATTCGCTCCACGGGGAATAAAAGAATTTTCTTACAGTTAACCATTACCTTGGGGTAAAATGTGTATAAAGTTATTAGATTGAAATACATTAATAAATCCCATTAAGGTAACTATGGGCACTTTTCTGATTAAATATTTTTTTTTTATACTGCATTATGTTTTAAATTTCAGAAATTAGTATTCTGTTTCTTGTGGACTCGTGACTAAGAAAAGTTGGATGAATCTTCTGGTTCGTTTGTCATCTGTCTTCGTGTGATCCTCAATTGCAATGTCGTCCGTTAAAAGTTATGTCATTGTTCTTTTGCGCCAGGTTCCCCGTAGTATAATTTTATCAAGTCATTATTAATTTACACATTAAACTAATATTTAAAAAAGGCAGTTCATTTTATTTAGTACAAGAAAGGTGTTAACGTTAGTGGGAGTAATTTAAACTTAACAATAGTATTTTTAAATATCTACAAAAAAAAACAAGAGAGAACGCTATAGTCGCGTGCCCCGACCATCAGATACCCGTTACTCAGGTAAAGGGAGTGCGAGGGAGATGGAGATAGAAACTTTGATCACGCCTAACTTTTTAACGAATGTTCCGATTTGAAAAATTTTTTCTACATTTCGAAAGGTATTGATAAACAAAATAAAACTGCATTTGTATTTTTCCGAAATATTTAAATTTTTAAAATCGGATATAAGCGATAACGGCGCGAAATATTCTGAAAAATATCAAATTTTGATCGATTTCACCCTTTTGTTCCTATGGGAGCTATAGGATATAGACGTCCGATCGGCACGCGCTTTTATCCTAATCAAGGTATGCATAAAAAATACGATTTGGAAATATTCATGTCAATAGCTCTTACACTGCGCGAAATTTCATCAATTCTTGCAAGATATATCCGATTGTTCCTATGGGAGCTATAGGATATAGACGTCCGATTTTCGGACTTCATCTGCGTACACATGTTTTAGGACGATTGTGAAAGTTTCAAATCGCTAGCTCTTAAACTGAGATCGCAAACGGTATTGAAACAGACGGACAGACGGACATGGCTATATCGACTCCCCTATTGATCCTGATCAAGAATATATATACTTTATAGGGTCGGAAACGTCTCCTTCACTGCGTTACAAGCTTCTGACCAATATTAAAATACCCTCTGCAAGAATATAAAAACATCGTTCTATGACCGACGGTATCATCCATTTTTGTTGTCATTTTAATGCTTTCAGAGTTGAAAGAGGCTTTATTGTCGCAATACATTTCTTACATTTGGCTACATTGTCTTATGAAATGTGTTTTTTTTCGTCCAATTTTGTGACCATTTCTAAATTTGGACGCAGTACATTAAATTTGTCCGCGTCCTTGCAATCAATCCTTGCTGTGATTTAGTTCACGTTCAAGCTGTATTATCAGACGTGAGCAACGCTCGTGCTGTCGTGCTCAGTGATAGTGTGTGTATCTTTTGGTGAGTTTTTATGTATCAAGAGCAACTTGCCTCCACGATACGTATTTGACGTCCATTGAAGGTTGGAAGTAATTTCACGATAACTATTTTAACCTCGTATTTTATGTTAGGGTCAGAGGTCACCCTTCTATAGCCTGAGGACTTCCACATGGGGATCTTACTTTGTTAACGCGCTGATTTAATTCCTAACTATCTCTGATTCCGTGCGGAACTCGTCATTAAAATTTTTATTGTAAATGTCTGCCTTTAATTTCCCTGTACTCTTAAGCCATCAGGCAATCAAATTATTCAGCCAATATAAAAACAGCGCAAATATTTACCCCGAAACACAACAAATAAATTTTGGTTTTATAAAGATTTCCAGTCTCGAGATTATTGAATAACGAATTTGCACTCATATATATTAAAATTCCCCTAATAAAGTTTTATTTTTATAAGGATGTTTATAAAATGGCTCGCCGTCTCTCATCCTATTTTTTTAGATTTTTCATATTTGTATTTCTTAAACTTCATAACGTATTATAAAACAAATGACAGAAGTGAATTTAAATCTAACCGCCAAAGCATGAACGGCGGGCAGGCTGCGCACAAGCGACATGTGCAAAAATCAGCCTATCGCCAAGTAACTATTCTTAATCGTGTAGCTTGGCTGATAGAACGAAAATAGATGTTTGCTGTATTGATGAAACTATGTTAGATGAATCTTTTTATTAAAATAATATATTAAGAAGAAACGACACGGCTATAAGATACCCGTTACTCAGCTAAGCAATTTTAAAATAAATTTTGGAAATTTTTGACGATTTCTGATTTTTAGTACTCTATTAGTAACGGGTATAATTGGACGGATGTCTTTCAATAACCTATATTTGTTCAGATCAGTACTGCAGTCTTAAAATAAAATAATTTTTTTAAGACTATTTGATTTTGTAAATAGCATGGAATAAATGGAATGGAATTGTGTTGCAAGCTCACAGAGCAGTCGATGGAGTTGAATCAGTTATAAAAAGCAAGGTAAGAAATCAACAACTAAATGGCTTGCCGAAAGAAGCCTATTGTCAAATTTAAAATCGTTTTTATATATTGCTTTATATGCATTCGAATGTCACGAACAACCTAGTGGTAATGCTGCAGTGGAACCCGATTATTTCCTTACCATTGGCCGAGTACGTTGCTTTACTGAAATCTACCAGATTTATTCTTTCAGTATTTAAGTTTGGTGTGGAATTGCCGCGGTCTGGTTACTCTAAGCGGCAGTAATTTCTTATTTTTATATGATACTATTTCGTTACTTATGCACATTAATATATTTTTTCCGAAGAACCTAAACAATATTTGGCAATGCCAACTCTTAACTAATAGTCGAGATACGAAATTCATCAACTTACAGCACACAACTATTATGAGGGAATGATTTGTTCATAAGTGTTAATAGTAAATATGTATACATAAAATTGTGAAACATGGTGAAACAAGTTGTACACGAAATAATTTCAAAGCAAACAAGAAAATAGATTAAGTGCCTATGGTTATAATGATCGCACCTGAACTAATGGGCTCGGTTTCGCGAATAATTCGTGAGTTCGAAACTCATGCATACGTGTTGTAGTGTGCGTGCGGTCTGTATTGATGTACATAAGCCTGGCATTTAGTGGATGCGATTGCCAGAAACCACAAATAGGTAAACGATGACTTTTTAATTAATGTAAGCATTTATACATTAAACCGATTTGGACAGGCAAACATATTGGTTCCATGTAGGCATAACTACAATGATGTCGACAACAATGCCCTGCAGTCCGACCCAATCACAGACTCAATTAATCACCGATGCCTCAACAAGTGCATCTGGAGCTAACGCTGGAATAGGGATTGGGAACGGGGTGGCAGGCTCTAGCAGGAGCTCTCCAAAGAGTATGAAAAGCGAACCCTTTTCCACTCTGTCTCCGGGTAAGTCGATCGCTTTTATTTTACACTTAATGTGTTAATATCAATTCGCTCTATTTTAAGATCAAATAAAAATAATGCCAGAAGAAGTGGCAGAGAAAAACGGCCTATCAAGTATTGAGAAAGGCATATCCGCTCCAACTGGAGGCAGCGGAGGCGGAATGGGAGGAGGTATTTCGACTGACGCACAACCATCGCAGTCGTCTTCCGTAGGCGCTGCCGTTGGTCCGCCGATGCTCAGACAGAACTCTTCAACCAGCATCAATTCGTGCCTGGTCGCCTCTCCAAACAACACCAGTGAACACTCGAATAGCAGTAGTGTGTCTGCTACAGTTGGACTAACGCAAATGGTCGACGGCGACGAGCAGGCGAAGAAAAAGAAGCCCAGTGTGAAGGATGAGGATGTCGGTAAGGCAGTCTAAACATGAATTCAGACGGCTCTGGCTTTCCCTTTCGCAAGTACTCAAATTTACGTTGTAACGGGGAAAAAATGTTCCGGGAGTACGCAGGCGTAAAGCTAAAACGCGATCTAATCTTATTTACGCGAGGCAAATATTACTACTTAGATCACACATGGTTACTTTTTAATAGATGGGTTGAATTTAAATTATTCCAAGGTGTAGTTGTTTAAGCGATAGGCCATGGCTAGATCGACTAGAGAAACTTTCCTTCTATTTTGCACTTACATTTGCATCAATATATGGAAATCATTGCTTGGTTTGGTTTCAATAGGACAGGCTAGAAGGTACGCGTAACAGTAGTTTGTTATAAAATCAAAATAAGAGGTTTTCTAAAAACTTAATTGAAAGCTCACCTATTTATGCCTCTCAACAGAAAAAGGATCTAATAAACCGAAAGGCTTACCTGCCGGCGCAGGGTGCGGAACAGCATCCGCTTCCGGTTTTTCCATAGGCGTTGCCATTAAGGAAGAACCCGCCGACGTGCTGAGCAGCTTAGTGAATATGAAAAGGGAAGAAAGGGAAAATCAATCGCCAAACATGTCCCCTGTTGGGTTCGGTTCAATTGGTAATGCGCAGGACAATTCCGCTACTCCCGGTAAGTAAATTGATAATCTTATTGTCTTGTACATGTACCTAGTACTTTATAAAAAAAAGTTATCAGCCATGCTCTAGTTATCGAATACGAAGATTTTTCAAAACAGGAATTCTGTAGAATACCGAAAATTTTAAAATCCCCAAAAAGACTTGCTTGGTAAACAAACATATAAAAACTTTAATAATTCTGTTTTTCTTAGTAGAATATAATTTTTTAAGCTTGTTCGGTTTATACGATATAAGAGATAATTTTTTAATTTTTTCAAAATTTTATATTTAAAAAAAAAAATTTTTTTTTAACCTGATGACCACGTAATAACAAATGTGCCTGGAAGACTACAGAAAGGAAAATCGGTCCGATTTGAACAAATTTATATTAAAGAGGAAATTTTGAATAGAATTCCTCCTGATATTCCTAAGGCCCTATCGAAACTTTACTTTATCTTTTGAAGCCTCTGTTGATAAAGTATAGTGTTTCTTAGATCAACAAGAAAGGAAGCAAACTTCGGCAAGCCGAAGTTTATATGCTTTTGCAGTTATTAAAAAACGACTGCATTTCGATTTCTATGCCTGAAAACAACGAAGCTATGGCGATTTTGCGCTGCATTTTGCCATCGTTTCTATGGCAGCAATATGATATGGTTGTCCGATTTTGACAAAACTAAAAGCGTAATTCTGATATAGTAGATAATTACTATATCTCAAAGGAATATTTTGATAAATAGAAAAACAGCAAAAACATTTTTTTTTCATTTTAATTTATTTTCATTTTTTGATTTTCCTATGGGAGCTACATATATGATATTTGTTGGGACATTCACGGTCCAAGAGGGTTTCCACTTATTTCGAGCTTTGGTTCACAGCATACAGATAGCTGACATCTTTATTTAAATTCAAATGGATTCACAATTAATCAAATTATTAACATTTTTTCTTACACTTGTGGTTTGCCACTCTTCAGCTTTTAAGCCTAGTATCCACTTCGACGTAAACCGTACGCCAGTCATGAGAGAGAGCGAGAGGCAAACAGCTGGCGTTCACTTTTCGTCGGGCCTTTTTTTCACTTCGGTCTCCTGATCGACGAAAAAAATACCAGAAAATTGCATAGCGTTGCCAGTCTGCGGAAATGAACTTTGGGTGAACCCTAGCGGAAAGATTAAAAAATTTAATCTTTTGGCGTGCGCTTCTCACTAACCATTATAAGAAATGGAGGGAAAAACTCAAAAAACTCACAAAAGTCGATTGCAGGTGTTTACATGTGAGGACAAAATAACATTAATACTATCTGGGGTGCCTCTTGTCAGAGCAAAATGTTTTTTAGGTCCAGAATGTACGAAAAAACACAATAAAAGTGCAGCTATGAACTTTAAATTAGCAAATAATTATCATAAAATTAAAAAAAAACAACTGTTAAATTTAAATTGTATTGTTTTTTAACTTCTTTGTACAGCGGCAGACTTGTCTTGCCAAGGTATTTGATAATATCTTTTAAAGGCTCTTTCCCGCAAATACGATATTTGAATTTTAACTGCTTGTCAACAAACCCAGCTGATTGTCAGTACGACCGTAGCACGCTTAAATCCGATGAACTCTCGAAATTTTGGTCACACTGGAAAGATTAAAGTTTTTACGCTAGCATACTCGTTTGTCGATCTGGATACTAGGCTTTAATAGCGACACTTTCTTCTCCTTAAATTCTTAAGTTTTCCAATACTAACAATAAAATGATGAAACTAACAGTGTTGAACAACTTAAGAGTATTTTTAAACTAACAGATAAATTCAAATAAATCGACTTTTGAAATTGGACAGTTAGCGCGCGGCTAAACCTTCTTATTAGCCTCGCAACAATATTGATGTCCGATTTTAATTTATCTAAATCCGTTATTCCATAGTATGTAAATCCCAAAGAACAAGAAAAAAAACTACAAAGTTATACTTTTTTTCCTACTGTTCCTATGAGAGCTATATGAGCTCGTTCAAACTTTTGTACTACCTGCAATAGAAAGACAACTTTCGGGAAAGTTTCAAGCAGTTTTAAAGCTAACTGAGGGACTAGTTTGCGAAGAAACGGACAGACAGACGGACACGGCTAGATCAACTCTCCTGCCAATGCTGATCAAGAATATATATAATATATATATAGGGTTGGAAATATCTCCTTCACCGCGTTCCAAACTTTTGACTGAAATTAGAATACCTTCTGCAAGGCTATAAAAATATATGCCGAACAAACAAAATTGTGTTTTCTAATAACTGCAAGGTTATATAAACTTTGGTTTGTCGAAGTTTTGCTTCTTTCTTTTATACCCTGCCATAGAAACGCTGGCAAAATGCATCGCAAAATCCACAAAGCTTCATTGTTTTTAGTAATATAAGCATTGATATTTAGTTGTTTTGTAATAAATGCAAGGGTATATAAACTTCGGCTTGCCGAAGTTTGATTTCTTTCTTGTTTTTAATGTTACAGTATCCGATATGAAATTAAAAATCTATTTTTAAAATCGTATATACCGATTAAATCGAATTGGGATGATTCAAAATGTATGCAAGTTTTAGACAATCACCCTTTGTAAGCTATTGGATAGTTGTAACACAAACTTATCGAGCCTTTCTAATTTTTATACCCTTGCAGAGGGTATTATAATTTCAGTCAAAAGTTTGCAACGCAGTGAAGGAGACATTTCCGACCCTATAAAGTATATATATTCTTGATCAGCATCACCAGGACAGTCGATCTGGCCATATCCGACTGTCCGTCCGTCCGTCCGTCCTTCCGTCCGTTTCTACGCAAACTAGTCTCTCAGTTTTAAAGCTATTTGCTTAAAACTTTCCCAAAAGTTTTCTTTCTATTGCAGGTAGTATATAAGTCGGGCGACTATATCATATAGCTCCCATAGGAACAAACGGAAAAAAATTAAAAAAAAATAATAATTTTGTTGTCTTCAATTTTTTTTTATTCTTTGGAATTTGGTAATATTTAAATATTATGGAATTGCGGTTTTAATTAAATTAAAATCGGAAAACAATATCATATAGCTGCCATAGAAACGATGGCAAAATGCAGCGCAAAATCGACACAGCTTCATTGTTTTTAGTAATATGGGCAGAGAAATCGAAATCTAATAGAGTTGTAACAACTGCAAAGGTAAATAAATTTCGGCCTGCCGAAGTTTGCTTCTTTTCTAGTTAATTATTCATAAATGCGCGTACTTAAACAAAACCACTCTTATTTTTTTAATAGTCACAAACATAAAATATATTTAAGAGCAAGTAAACTTATGAGTTTATAATTGCCCAATTCGATAACCAAACAAAAATATTTTAAATTTGCGATAAGAAGAGCATGGTTGAATATGCCTAGGTATGTTTAATAAAAATCTGTACCCTTTACCTCATTTAGTGAAAATAGAAAGAAATACAACCGATAGCATCACGGAAAAAAAGAATTCATCCTTGGCTATAAGTAATGATGAAATGGGAGGCGTTAGCTGCAATCCGTTAAGCGATATTATCAGTGAATCTTTAGGTAACCCGCCTATCTCAAGCATATTAGCTCTAGGAATGAATGCGTCTCACGTAAGTGGAGGAGGACCAGGAACGGTAGTTGGAGCAACAAATAATCTTCTGGCGGGTAATGGCAATGGCCCCACTTCCGGTGGTGGCAATTGCTTGGATTTCATGCAACAACAGAATCACATATTCGTGTTTTCAACTCAACTTGCAAACAAAGGGGCCGAATCGGTTTTAAGCGGTCAATTCCAAACCATTATTGCATATCACTGTACCCAGCCAGCGACAAAAAACTTTCTCGAAGACTTTTTTATGAAAAATCCCCTGAAGATGAACAAGTTGCAGCGGCACAGTAACTTGGGAATGCCGTGGCTAGGCATGGGACCGGGAGGACCGATGGCACAAAGTGCACCCAATTCTGTATCAAAGATAACACAGCAGCCGTCACATTCAAAACCTGTAAGCCTTTTGAAAAGCCAGTTCAATCAAAATGACAACAGCAAACGCAGTTCTGTTAATGTGCCCAGCAACACTTTTGTCGACCAATCCGATCCCTTGGCCAATGAAAATGAACTTATGTGCTGGGAGAGCGGAGCCGGGGGCAGTGGTGGTGGTGGCCCTGCCCCAAATTCGCGAAACAATATAGACAGTATCAGCGCTTCCAGCGAGTCCCAGGCAATAAAGATATTGGAAGCTGCTGGTGTTGACTTAGGGCAGGTCACAAAGGGAAGCGATCAAAGTCTGTCTCACGAAAACAACATTGTTTCGCTGCAAGGAGTTAAGGTCCCAGACGAAAACCTTACACCACAACAGCGTCAGCATCGGGAAGAGCAGCTGGCAAAAATAAAGAAAATGAACCAATTTCTCTTTCCCGAAAATGAAAACTCAGTAGGAGCCAATGTAAGCTCACAAATGCCGAAAATACCAGGAGACCTGGTTATGGGCATGCCGAGTGGAGGAGGATCTATAATAAATCCGCAATTGCGACAAATGCATTTACCCGGAAACGTGAAACCGGAGCACTTAGCGGGGACATCAGGACTTCCCGAGGAGGTAATACTTCCCAGTGATGTGATATCGGATATCGGTGCTGTAATGGGATGCAATAATAGTCAAAAAAGCGGCATGCAATGCGGAGCTGGGACTGTAACTGGAAATGCTGCCGGCGCGTTAAATGTAAATATGCATTGCTCAAGCTCTGGGGCTTCAAATAGCAGTATGATGGGAAACTCAACCGATATGCTAGCTTCGTTTGGCAACACGAACTGCAACGTTAATGTCATCGGATCAGTATCAGTAGATATGTCTAAAGAACTTTCGACTCAAGATAGCCTAACGCATCCACACCAAGGGGGACTAGCTCAAATGGAGTGGACGAAGATCCAACAGCAATTTTTCGAGGACCGCCTCAAGGGTGGGAAAGCCAGACAAGCGACGGGACCTATCGCACCGCAACAGCCGCCATCTGGAACTGGCGGAAATTCGTCAAATAGCCAAGTGCGTTCTCTGCAGGGACCTCCACCGCCATACCATTCCACTCAGCGATCTGCTTCAGTGCCAATAGCTACTCAATCGCCGAATCCGTCGAGTCCAAACAACCTGTCCTTGCCGTCACCTCGCACAACTGGCGCAGTTATGGGTTTGCCAACAAACTCACCCAGCATGGATAGTTCGGCATCACTGTCGGGATCGGCTCCCCCGGCAATCACATCATCCTCCCAGGCAGGCACAACGGGAGTGATTTCTGCAAGCAAAAACTGTTTTCAGGCAGACACCCCATCGCCATCAAATCCAAATCGAAATCGAAATAGCGGATCATCAGGCGTACCCACTCATAATTTTAATAGTAACCCGAGTACACCGCTATCCCATTTATCCCCGAAGGAATTGGAGCCGTTCGGTCAGTCCTCTGCTGGTAATTCTAAAATTTATTATTTGGGTATAAAAAAGATATATTTTTCTGAGAGTATTGTAACATTGCTCATAAGTTTGTGATATTGCCGACCCTCTATTCCAATTGAAAGGTCAGTATAAAAGCTAAAGACTTTTGCAATCGTCATTATAAATGTGTTTGCACATCATGATTTAAATCGACTCTGATCGGACACGTCTTTTTGTGCGATCGGGTTTAAACTTGTTGTTTTTGAAAAAAAATTGGCTTAAAATACGAAAATTTGTATTGTTGAACACCAAATGACAAATAAACAAAAGCATTTTTCGCAAAAGCGAGTATTCCAAAACTCCGTACACGTTAACTCAAAAGATATAAAACTGTGACCAAAACCGAACTTTAAAAATTTCGTTAAAAAGTTAGTTTACATTCGCAATAAAGTATATATATCCCTGCCCGTCTGACGGATTCTACCCAAATTAATGCAAAGTTTTTGGATGACACTTTGCAAAATGTCCAGTTTCTGTATTAGGTAGTATATAATTCGGAACGGGCTGGATCGGCCTACTGTATCATATAGCTTCCATAGGAACAACCGGGAGAAAAGAGGAACAAAATTGTAACTTCCTTGTTTCTTAACATATACCCGCATACACCGAAAGATAGACATTTTCAGAATTACGGTTTAACATTTATAAAAATCGGACTACTATATAGTATTGCTGCTATAGAAACAATATGTTTCGTAACATAACATGTTTCCTAAGTCTCAAATTTCTTCTTCACGGTCATGAAAATATTTAATCGTTTGACTTTAAGAACACCTTGAAAGTTATGTGTTCCCAAACCTATAAAGGTTGAACTTACATTGTTTAGGCATTTTAATATTATTGACCAATAAATCTTTACGACTCGTGATGAAACGTAAAAATATTTTATACATGTAAATTGTATGTCTGGTTGAGTAAATGTTATCAATTATAACGAGGACGGAAGCTGACTTCGGCAAGCCGAAGTTTTAATACCCTTGCAGACTTGAAAAAATGTATGTCAATTGCTAATACATTGCTGATTCTAAAAAACATCAAATTAGGACCGATTTTACACTATTGTTCCTAAGAGCTATAGGATATAGACGTCCGATCGGCATGCGCTTTTGGAAAGATTCATGTCAATAGCTTTTACACTGCGCGAAATATCATCAATTCTTGCAAGATATATCCGATTGTTCCTATGGGAGATGTAGGATGTAGACGTCCGATCGGTTTCAAACTTGATTTGCATACACATGTTTTAGGAAAGTTTCAGATCGCTATCTTTTAAACTGAGCTCGCAAACGGTAATCAGACGGACAGACGCACATGGCTATATCGACTCCCCTATTGATCCTGATCAAGAATATATATACTTTATAGGGTCGGAAACGTCTCCTTCACTGCGTTACAAACTTCTGAATTATAATACCCTCTGCAAGGGTATAAAAATTGATCAAACAAAACAGGTCGTTTGAGTAACTTAGAAGAACACAATTTTTCTGGTATTCCTTAGAATAGGTAGAATGGATAGACAGAGGGTCAGCTTTACGGATAGATATGTGGGGTTTACTACAAGGGTTCGGCAAAATCGGTTCATTTGTCTTTTCGATTGTTCAAACGAACCGATTTGATATACTGTAACAGCAATAAGAGTTTGTACAATGAATATGTGTAACAACATACATCCACGCAAATTATGTTAGGAATTTTTGATTTCAATTTAAATATAGTTTTTTGTTGCTTTTACTTATAATTACCCCTTATCAAAGTAATCTTATTCTTAAGCTATTTTCCCATATATTGAAAACCATAATAGGACTAATCTAACGTCGCAAAAACATATTCTTTTTTATTCAGGAACATTTTTAAAACAAAATCAAATTTTAGAATATTTTCTAATCAAACTTCTTCTTACAGGTGATAACATAAAAAGTAGACGGACAAGCCCACAGGGTCAACGGTCGCCAGGAAATGCTGTTATAGAGGCAAATATAGAATCTAGATTTGCTAACTCCAGTCCTGGCGTTATTTTCAATCCACATCCTCATATGCAAAGCAATCCGAATTCAACATTAAATGCCTATAAAATAGGCACTCCCAATATGCAGATGGAGGTACAAATTAAGTTTATTTTAATTATATAATTGTTTCTAATTTAATTCGGTTTCAGCGCCAAGCTTCGTCCCAATGTGGATCCGTACAATTTTCTCGGCGTTCCGATAATATTCCGCTAAATCCCAACAGTGGCAATCGGCCGCCACCAAACAAGATGACACAGAACTTCGATCCAATCTCTTCACTGGCGCAGATGTCCCAACAGTTAACAAGCTGTGTTTCCAGTATGGGGAGTCCAGCCGGTACTGGTGGGGTGGCTATGATGGGCGGTTCGGGACCGGTAGACATTAACATTGAGCATGCAATAATTTCGGGATTAGATGGACCAGGAATTGATGCTATTAATCAAAATAACTGCCATCCAATGAATGCCGTCATGAACTCTATGGGTCAGCGAATGTTGAATCCTAAAATGTGCGTTCCAGGTGGTCCAAGTGGTCCTTCTGGCTTTAACCCCAATTCTCCCAATAGTGTATTAAGAGATAGTCCTTTGGGTCCTGGTCCAGTTCCTGGTCCTGGGCAAGCAAACTCTCCAAACTTCCAAGGCGTTGTACCACCTGGTGCTAGAATGATGGGTCGAATGCCAGTCAATTTTGGTTCAAATTTCAATCCCAATATACAAGTTAGGGCGAGTACACCAAACACAATACAGTACATGCCAGTGAGGCCGCAGAACGCCAGTAACAACAATAACAATGGAGCTAGCAATGTGCGAATGCCACCTAGTCTTGAGTTTTTGCAGAGGTACGCTAATCCTCAAATGGCTGCTGTAGGAAATGGTTCCTCCATATGTCCGCCCTCTGGCGATGTTGGTCCGGGAATGCCCGGAATGATGGTAGGATCTGGATCAGGAGCCATGCTAATGAACTCTCCAGGCGAGCAGCACCACAACAAGATCACAAACAACCCTGGGGCAGGCAGTGGAATTAACTTTTTCCAGAACTGTAATCAACTGGCCATCATGGACGAAGAGGGAGGCCATGACGTGGCAATGAATATTGGTCAACCGTCGATGATACGGGGCATGCGTCCGCATACCATGCGACCACATACAATGGGTCCACGAATGCAAGCTTCGGTCAACAGGCAGATTCAGTTTGCACATGCATCGGATGGTCTGGATTGCGTCGGGGATCCCACAGCATTTTTTAATAACACTGCCTGCAACAGCACTGGACAAGCCATGTTTGCAGCATCACAACAGTCTAATCAGTCCAAGCCTCAACACCTAAAAACTATGCCCAGCGGAATGTGTCAAAATCAAACGGGAATGGGAGTAGGCCCAGCAGTGGCGCAAGGACAGATGCTGCAGGGACAAGGTCAAGGTCAGGGCCAGGGTCAGGGTCAATCTTTAATAGGACCCAGCAATAATAACTTAATGTCGGCTTCCGGAAGTGTTGGTCCTACTAACGGCGTCTCTGGCATTAATTTCGTGGGTCCCTCATCAAATGATCTAAAGTATGCGCAGCAATATCACAGCTTCCAGCAGCAATTATACGCAACCAACACCAGGAGCCAGCAACAACAGCAGATGCACCAGCAGCAGCAGGGAAACATGATAACTATGCCGCCCAACTTATCACCAAATCCAGCGTTCTTTGTGAATAAATGAACTTACACCGCTGACGCCCTCGCCATGTATTGTTTACTAGCATCCAAGATAAGACATCCATCTCTAAATAAGATTTTTACTGAGCTTATTACGTAGATGTTTTAGCTAAAGAAGAAAATAAACATTTGTCAATGCAAATGAGAATTTTTAGAAACAAAATATTTTATTCGCCACATTTAGACGAGCCACATTCAAGTTAAATCTAGTATCCCATTCGTGTAGTCATATTTGAATCTGTATTTGAATACATATTTGAACATGATAGGTCATCGCTTGCGAATATGTACAAATAATAATAAACAACGAAATTTTAGTTATTTGCAGCTAGTTTTCTGTTATTAATAACTATGTACGCTGCTCTCTGTGTTAAATGCAACTAAGAAAATATACATATGTAAAACGCTATTAATATATATAATATTCTCAACTTTATTGTAATCCATGTTAAGAGAACTGTAAATTCTTCCATTAAAAAGATAATGAAACACATTACTTGGCTATACATCCTTTTTTCGTCTATTTGGATAAAAAACTTATTTAATTTAAACAGATTTTATCAATATCAGATGTAGATGGTCAATTTTAATTTAATTAAAACCAGCAATAGAAAGACAACTTTTGGGAAAGTTTCAAGTTTTTGCAGTTAAATTTGCAAAAAAAGAGCCTTTTAAAGATATTATCAACTACCTTGGCAAGAAAAGTCTGCCGGTCTACAAAATTAAAAAAAAACAATACAATTTAAATTTTACACCGCGATGTAATTTTCTGGTATTTTTTTGTCGATCTGAGTATCGGGGTGAAAAAAGAACCTGACGAAAAGTGTATTCCTCACGCTCTTTCTCATAGCTTGGCTGTCTGCCATCCTTGACATTAATAATAAAATGGAAACATTTTTATATTCAACGAACTTGATTTGTTACAATTTAGACAATATTGGGCACTATCTTCATATTATATTTTTTTTCTGCAGACTAGCGAAAATCTGCAGACATATTAGTCCAATTTGGTTGTTCGGGTAGATCACTTGCAGTATTTTATTAAGTATCATTTATAGCGCTGTTGTGTTCATTTTAAATGTTGTGCAAACTGCAAAGGCTAGAATGATTAGCCACAGCTGTTATCGGATGGTGGATGGTGGATGTGCTCTCTGGGAGTCAAAAATCCCAACTGTTTCAAAGGGATGGACTCTTTGGGAAGAGGGTATTACGAGGTGCCAAATCGAAATAATGATATCGTTTTATATTTTTTTTTCCTTCAAGGGAAAGAGCCAAAGGCAAGTCTTGAAAACCGACTATGATACAATACCTAAGGTAGTCTAGTCAGTGCGTGTTCGTTTTTTGAAGAGAAAGGTTGTCTGCGGACGAAATTTTTAAAGAATTAACCCTTGTGCAATATGATTCTTTGGCATATAAGATTAAGAATCTTAACAAAAGATTGAACATTCAAAAACAAAAACGACCCCCAATTTCAAATCCAAAACTATTAAAAATTAAATTATGAAAAAAATTAAGCCTCTTTTATTATGAAAGGCAAAGAAACCCTGAAACATCTAAGGGCTAATCCATGCATTCTATTGTCGCTCTGCTCGCACTTACTAAACAGTGCACTCATTGCCATGATTGTAGAGGTACCAGATTTTGCGAAGAGACTCCCTTTTTTGTATCATGAAACCGACGATCGTCTCTCTCCCCATAAAATGAGCTCAGTGCAAACCCTTGCAATTAAAAAATAATAATAAATATTTTATCGATACTTATTAATTATATTATTTTATGGATATAAGTTTTAAAGAAATGGATTTATTTATTAGATAAATTTAAATAATGTAATTATTTTGAATAGTTCAACATGCTTTTTAATACCCCGCTGTTTAGGTCAGTGGCCCACTGCACCGCCGCTGCTCACTGAGCTATCCGAGCTTTCGCTCTCGCCCCTCTTGCCCTCGCTTGCTTTCTCGCAACGTCCGCGCTCCGGAGCGTGAGCCTCGGGCTTCGTATCCGAAATCCTCTCTCTCTCGCTGCCGGTCTTCAGCAGTGGTCCGAACATTGAATTTCGTTCACACTGCTGCAAGATCAATTTCTTCGTGTCGAGAAATTTATATTCCTTCGATTCCAACAAATTTTCTATACCGTCTCCGCTTTATGTGCGTCGCCATATTCCTTGCCGTTTTTATACCCGTTACTCGTAGAGTAAAAGGTTATCGATTGGCCTAATAAAAATTTGCCACGCCCACTCTAACGCCCAAAAACCCATTAAACGCTTAAGCCTGGCTAGCGCCTACATTTCCGCCTTTCATGGCCCGTGGTACCAATGTCTTGCGGTAGATGGTACAATACAATAACGCCATCTAACGGATGCTCAACAGAGTCAACGTTAATTCTCGATAAGGATTTATATTAAGGGGGTATATACCTTTTTTTGTCGAAAAAATAGGAAAGTTTGGATTTTTTTTATGTATGTAACTATTGTTTTTATTAAATGAATGATTATATTTTCTGAAAGTTTAGATTGTTGACAATGTTTATGCAAAAATTTTTGAAAAAATATTCAATAGTTTTTAAGGTGTGGCTGTTTCCCTTAAACGCCTTTTTTTTAAAGAGCCTTGCGGTGATAATTCAATGGGTCAATGGGTCAACTGATACCGAAAAATTAAAAATATTTCATTAGTTTAAAGTAGTATCCTGTACTTGAACGAACGTTTTAAAAAAAAATTTTTTTTTGTGCATACGGGAACGTTTAATGCAAAAAATGACGTTTTTGGACGCAAAAATTCGTACAAAACTATTTATTTCGGCGAAATAAAAATTTTTACATGAAAAAACGATCGTTCAAGTACTAATAAAATTCATTACGAACATTTAAAAAAAAATTTGAAGAAAATCGGTTTAGTAGTTTTTCGCCAATCCATATCACCGCAAAGTCATTTTTAAACGAGGACGGAAGCTAACTTCGGCAAGCCGAAGTTTTAATACCCTTGCAGACTTTGACGAAATTGCTAAAAGTGAAAAAGTAGCGAAAGGAATAAGGTATACATAAGTAAACTAGATTTGCATCGTTTCAAGTCAATTGCTTTTATACTGCAAAAATGTCATATACAAATAGAAAAAAAGGGATACTTTCGCAGCCTTTAACAATTTTTCCTATCTCCTTTAAGATATAGACTTCCGAGCGGCAAGCGCTTTTACCCTAATCAAGATATGCGTAAATAAATAAGAATTGGAAAATTTTATGTTAGTAGCTTACACACTGCGCGAAATATTCTGATAATCATCAAATTTGGACCGATTTCACCCTATTGTTCCTATGGGAGCTATAGGATATAGACGTCCGATCGGCACGCGCTTTCACTTTGATAAATGTATGCATAAAAAAATAGGATTTGGAAAGATTCATGTCAATAGCTTGTATACTGCGTGAAATATCCTAAAAATCATTAAATTTTAACCGATTTTACCCTTTTGTTCCTATGGGAGCTATAGGATATAGACGTCCGATCGTCACGCGCTTTTACTCTGATCAAGGTACGCATAAAAAAATAAGATTTAGAAAGATTTATGTCAATAGCTTTTACACTGCGCGAAATATCTTCCATTCTTGCAAGTTATATCCGATTGTTCCTATGGGAGCTATAGGATATAGACATCCGATCGGGGCGGTTTTCAAACTTGATCTGCGTACACTTGTTTTAGGACGACTGTGAAAGTTTCAGATCGCTAGTTTTTAAACTGAGCTCGGAAACGGTATTGAAACAGACGGACAGACGGACAGACGGACATGGCTATATCGACTCTCCTATTGATCCTGATCAAGAATATATATACTTTATAGGGTCGGAAACGTCTCCTTCACTGCGTTACAAACTTCTGACCAAAATTATAATACCCTCTGCAAGGGTATAAAAAAACCATTTCGAGATATTTGCGTTTAAAGTTTCAAGTTTGGGTTTGGGCGGGGACGAGGCGCGCGGCTAGGAGCGCTGTAACTTTTTTTCTACAGCTCAAATCTCTATGAAAATTTTGGGAAATATTCTCAAGAAGTTGTTCTTTAAGATAAAGCAAAAAAAAATTTCGATTTTTTGAAAATGAAAAAGGTATATACCCCCTTAAAGGAAATTGCGATGGTTTTCATTTGTCAATACCGAACTATATCCCAAGAACTATGCAAATCAAATCAAGTTAGCAAAATTGGAGGTCTGAGTCAAACAATGGCGTATGTGTGTATGTATGTAAGCATATACATATGTATGTATTTACATTGTACACAGTTGCAATTGCCCGGCAAAGATAACTCCTTTCAAAGAAAGCTATTCACTATACCCGTTACTAGTGTTGTGCAAACATTTAGACTTTAATATACATAATACTATTTAAGAATGTATGTGTTTAGCCAATATAAGTATGTATGTTTAATATTTCTAGTCAATTTATTGCACTCAAAAACATAAACATAAACACAGCTGCTGGTGCAGGACAAAAGCTGCCTGCGCTAAAGCAGCGCTGGTGCTGATGCTCGTGCTGTTAAGCTGCCAGCTCTAAGAGATCGCCGAATTCAAATTGATAATTTGAACTTTTTTAGCTGAGTAACTGGTATCTAATAGTCGAGGCACTCGACTATAGCGTTCTCTCTTGTTTTTTAACTAATTTCGGGAGTTTCCCTGTTCGCATTTTCGTCGATTTCCAAATATATGTTCCGATTCTTCTTGTTTTTACGGCACTGTGCCTTTTACTCCGCACAAATTAACAGTGTGACTGTTCTCTGTGAGGGATTTTTTCCATCTCTGGTTGCGTTTTAAGCTCTGTTTCATACTAAAAAAAATTAACCGGCGTCAAATACGCCGAATAGCTCCTCCAGTGCCAGCATTCGACTTGTGTTTTTTTCTCGTTCGTTCATTTGCAGCAACGACCAACTCGTTGGCGACCCAGATCGCTTAACTGTGAATATCCTCACGTTTCGATCGAGACGCCCCTTGCTCAGGTCAGTCGACCAGAGCTGATCCGCAGAGTTCGAGTCCGAGAATCTCATCGGGAGACGACAAGAAACCGCGGTCGATCCCATCAATCTGTTTGGATAGGTCCCAATCCACGTCTCCGCGGCCGTCTCAAAGAACGCCAAAGGCTGCCATTGCCATTCCAAGGGCAAAAAGCGACGAGTCCGTCGAGATTATCCCCGGTCCCCCGTCAAGGCTTTCTCGGTCGGTGTCCAAGATGGCTCAAACTGCGATAGACGTCGCCCTCAAAAAGTTTATTGCTTTCCAACACCCCCGTCTATGGGTTGTCGTTTACCACCAGTGGACACCGATGTTTTCGCTGGTCATTATCCTTGGCCATTATCTTGGCCCACCTTTAGAGATCTTTTCACATCCACAACTCGCGCCTTACACCGGTGGAGAAAACAAACAAAACAAGTGTTTTGAAAACCGTTTCGAAAATCGGCGGTTATTAGTCAATAGCCAGTTGAAAATCCTATTCAACATTCAGGCAGTACCCCAA